GAGATTGTTTCATAAAATATCACCCGCTTACTGCGAAGCTGATTTTGCATATTTCACCTGTTACTATTTTACAATTAACATTTTAATTTTATAATTAACGATACAAGTTAGTTATATAAGAATGATGACGAATTTGCATAACGCATAAAAAGCAATATTTCTTTCTCAAAGATATAACGCGATATTTAGAAATATCTAATTAATTTTTGTCTAGCAATATGAAAAAAATCACGATTTTTTTAAAGTAGTAAAATAAGTAATGATATTGACAATCTAATAATAAAAATAAACTTATCGGACTGCTGAGCGAAGATAGTTAACACGTAAGGCAGTCTTGCGAAACGAGACTTGTACAAGATCATTTTCAATTAATGGACGTTACGACGTATTTCGAAGCAGCCGTCGCGCGCGAGCATATGTTTCAAAGACACTCTATTCAAAGCCTAAATGGAAGTAACAAATGATTTCGCACGCGTAATAGATTTGAGACCCGTGCGTCAGTTGTAAAGACTCTACTCAGCTGGCATAAACGACCGTACAACTGACATCCATTCAACAACAATTACTAATAACTGTGTTTATCGTACGTGCATCAGAGAAACTTCAAATACTCCCGTCTTACATGCAGTCTTTGAAGAGAACATTTATAAGTAATGGGCTTTGTAAGTAAATCTTTTGCTTCTTTGATACACGAATAATTTTTTAGCGTCAACGCTGATCTCACAATCTGAGGGGTATTGATATCTGAATTAATTTATATATAACAGTTATTTAGCAGAAACTTGTTCGTATGTGGGATAATTAATAAAACTAAGATTTCAGTTACAAGCGACAATAAAATGAGCGACAATAAAATGAACGTATAAAACGTATAAACGTATAAAAAATTATGCTTAGCGCTATTTATACAGGCAAAGATATAAACCATACAAGTTGTATAAATGAGAATGTCACCGATGTCAGAACCTTGATCTAGTATGAACGTAGCTACTTTTTTTTATTTTTGATAAAGGGTGAGTAACTAACAAGTAATTAAATCCGTGATTAAACCAGTAAAGCGAGTTACTCGTGCAAATTACTTGAAATTATCTCTTAAAAACATATGGTAACATATTAAGAAGCTATGTTAATTTGTTCGATAGTATATAAGAAAATAAAATTTACATTGATAGTATTTACATAGTAGTTTCGTGTAGATTACTGAATATATAGAACATTCAAAAGAAAAAAATATTTATAATATATCCTGAAACATATTTTTATGCGCAAAAAGATCAATTTCTTGTGCTAATTTTACATGTGATAATGATTGTATACGATATCTTCGAATTGTTTTTTTTCAAATATATCGAGTGACATCAAGTGCTTGAAATAGAAATAATAATAGAAAGAGATAAGAATAGATAATGGTTGATCTATTATTATTAAACTAGTTTGCATTCCGCGGCAACACGCGAGATAATAAAATGCTTCATACGAATATCTCACGCACAATGCAATATTTTTCAATTTCAGACTGTATGTGGCTGATTACACATTGTGACTTTGCGAGACGCCCCGAATGCGCGACGAGTTGTATGAACAAATTTACATGTTTATCGGTTTATCACCATAAGTTTCAAGACGGTTGACAGGCGACCGCTTCGTAAACCGCAGGAACAACAAGAAAACGGTGACTGATTAGAAGCTGAGCAATTACAATAAATTATTATTCATAATGACAAACTTAATCGTTAGGCTTGCCAGCGATGCGATAATAAAATACGATCGCTGTCAATTAAATGATACGTAAGCCTATTAATATACCGCAATATTAATCGTTATCACATTTTCGCATTTTCAATCATTGCCTATCGATTATATTAATATGTTGTCCACAAAATCTTTTTAAGATACGTAATCAGAGCAATGCTTAATAAGGTGAGCAATATTTAATATCCATGATCAATGAAAAGACCTATTCATTTCGTTGATAAACTTCAATTTAAAAATAAGAAATAGCGTTTCTGAAGCAACCAATTCTATCTCAGATTGAAGAAGATAACGCCCTACATTTTTTCCTCGTCATTTACGAAATGTATGATCGTTTTAAGTATTACATGCGGAAAAGATCTACAAGAAGAGCAGAGGAGCAACGAGAACGAAGGAAAAGAGATCTGATTACAATATGCAAATGCAAATGACTTGGGCCATTCTTTTTCTTTCTTTATGTCCCGCAAGGGAAGTCGCGAGGACGCTTTATCATTGCATCGGTTCCTTCAAGAATTCGGTGCGGATCGCGTCAGGCAGCGCGAGACAAAGGCAGGAATCCACGAAAGCGAACATTGTAATTGGCGGAGGGACAGGAAGAGGTGGACACAAGGACAGAAGGAGGAACACACAGAGAGGATCGCGAAGAAGTCGAAGAAGCGTAGGCTGAATCCGTGATCTTTTCGCTCCGCGCCCGCGCACGAGTGCTTGGTACGAGGGAGAGTCGGCACTGATCCGGCTCTCCTCCTTCTTCGGGGTGATCCCGGGTTGGTCCCCTCGGCCGGCACGAACCTCTCCGCTATAAAACGTTCAGATAAAGCCGCGATGTTTATATGCGGGGATCGCGGCAAGGAGAAGAGAGAGGAGTGCCGTGTAGAAGGAGAGATATACCTGCCGACCGCGCGCGCCGACAAAATAATAAGACAAAAGACGCTGGGGGTGGACTGTGGCGAAGCGAGGGGCGAAGTGGGGCTGTGATCAGGTAAGAACGAGAAGAGGAAGAAAGAGCGAAGAGGAAACGAACGGTTGGAGAGATAGGTCCATGCGACCGGGGGGGAGTATGGGAAAAGAGAGCTGTATCGCAGACGCAGTGGATGCTGCGGCGCACGAAAGAGATGGCGGGGAGGGACGAAGGGTGCAGGGGTGATCAGAAAAGGAGGAAACCGGACAGGAATGCACGGACGAATGCGTCGTGTTACGGGCTACCCGACCGCGACGCTTATCTTGCAAGAGAGTGAGCGAGCTCTCATTAGAATCTCCTCTCTGCCTAGCTTAACCGGCTGTAAGAATTCGTGGCGACGACCCTCGTCGCGCGAATATACCGAGCGGTATTACTGTACATTATACATTCGTAATTTGCGTTTATGCGTTTCGAAACGCGAATGGTCGAACGCCACGCGATCGAAGTTTGTCTCTCGATGATTTCCATAGACAAGCTAATGAATGAGAACATTTAAAATCGCGGAGTTTCTTTTATACTTCGTGGTTATACAAAACACAAGATTTTCTAAATCTAGTTTTGAAAAGTAAATATATACATAGATATAATAATCAAATCCATTCCTATTTTACGCGTTACTCGAAAAGAAGAATCGAAATTGTAACCGTTAAATTTTTTCTGTAAAAAAATTCACTCTAAATTGTTCGGCAATCGCATGCCTACAAATTTTCCAGGCCTTCCAATTATATCCTGGGCACGAATTTTTTAATCTTTTTTAGCGACGCTGAAATTTTTAATTCATGAGAGACATCGAATACATCGATATATATTTTATCTCGGCCTTCAAAGTCCGAGTGCTTATACGTCAGGTCGAATTTTGGGCAACTCATCATACTCTCGCTGTGTCTCAATTTTATTAGACCCTCGACCCTCGAGTGTCTCTTCTAAAAAAAAGAAAAGAAAGAAAAAAGCGCCTTACCTACCGGTAACGCGATACCGTCCGTCAAATTTTTTTCTCTCTTTATGTACGCGTGAGTTTGTAAGACATCACGAGAACTGCCGCGGTGGAGGCGACGAAACGAGATTGTAAAAATAACGCGGGAGCGTTAGTTGACCCCGCCCAAACCGCGCTCGCAAATCGTGTCGGAAGGAAAATGTAAATATCATTTCGGTATCGTGAAGCATTCTTCGATAAATTGTGGTAACTGCGTAATTTACATGAGACGCGGAGACCGAAA